GACCCTGGCGAGCTTGGTTGGGTAGTACTGTTGTGCTGCTAAACCCTCGCCGGCAAATACATTCATCTGCGATTGCCTCTGCACACCACACCTGCCCAGTCCTAACGCGAGTACCACCGCCTTGAGCTGAAGTCGTTCTTTGCCTTGCTGTCCCACTCCCACCCGTCCTTTCACTCGCCTACCTCCAACACCCAGCTGAGATCGTTCGACAACCTCGCGGTCACTAGGCACGGGGACATGCCTTCCGGCGTGTCCGAGGAAAGGATGCTCCACCGGACACTCGCCCTTCGATCGTTCCGACGGGTCGTGACCGCCACCAGCCGAGGTATGACTGTCTGCATTGCTTCGGTTAGTTTTCCATAGCGAGCTAGCCCCATCTCCTTCAGCCCTGAAAATAAGGCCGTAGTTTCAAGTCAGGGGCGCGGCAACTGTTGTTTGTTGAGACCCCAAAGCAGAAAACCCTCACTCCCGAACATGGACTCTGAAGCGCGTTCGACGAGGCTAGACTGCACGTACTTGCGTGGAGCGTTCAACAACGACTATCCTTTGGTCCCTCAAATCGCGCCCTCTGCGCTGAGAGTGTCCGCTTGTTGGAGGTCTCTCCGGTAAGATTCAGGACTCGAAGCCCTCAGTTTAGAACATGATGCGGTTCGATTGTTGACTATGTAGGACAAGACACAAAAAATTCCCACCCCTAACTCAAAAAACGTGCCCGTGGCGACGGTTGGTTTGGGAGACAGTCACGGCTTGCGCTCACTCGGAGATTCTGTCCTGTCCACGTGTTTTCGCAGGCTTAGGAGGAGGCGGAGACGAGGAGGGCGCAGGGTGTGCCAAGGGCGCGCCATCCGCTAACTTCACCGGCGGCGACGGCAACAACGGCATCACGAACAATGAAAACTCTCGCGAGAAAGCCGAGGCACGATCCGGCTCCAAAGATGGACGCCAGAATCATTTCGGGGAAAATCGACGAGCACGAAGAGCGGGCGATGAAGAGTTCGAGCGGTGGTTCAATGACAACAGCAGCACCAGTAGCACATGCAGTAGCAGTAGCAGCAGTAGCAGTAGCAGCAGCAGCAGCAGCAGCAGCAGCAGCAGCAGAAGTACCAATAGCGAAGTTGCACAAGTTTGGGCTATGTTCAGGGGCCGGCGGGGGTCGCGCGTGGTGACGGCTTAGGAAAATGACTCGGAACAGAATCGACAGGAGCGGGAGCACGATGTGACAGTGTTATTTAGTTCCGATGGAAACCGCAACGAGACCTGAAATGTGCCGTGCGGAGGATATGTGGTAGCATTTCTTGCCTTACCCACAAGCTGGGAAGCTACTCGTATTTTATACCAAAACGGAGAGTGGGATTGCTCGCCGAGTGTGAAAAGTGGGTATCCGGACGTCGGCTCTCTTTCTCTCTCTCTCTCTCTCTCTCTCTCTCTCTCTCTCTCTCTCTCTCTCTTCTCTCGGCACCGCATCGCCAATGGTACCGAATCTGATAGCTGCCCCGGTTGATCGACTGGTGTCTCGGGTGGCAGCTGTAAACCCTGGGCAGTTGCCTTCCGGAACACGCGACCACTTCCTGAAAAATGGCAGTTGAGAACTTGAGGAATCAAACTCTTCGAAATTGACCCAACCCAGTCCTGAAACCTGTATAGGCCCCGTTGGTTTCCCCTCAAGGGGAGTGCGGAGAAAGCCTCGGGCCATCCAGGAGGTCTTAAACTGGTGGCGCTGTTTAGCGTACTTCGATATGGAGCGGAAACCCTTGCATAAATAAAATGGCACAACGACAGCGGTAGTTATTTATTCTCGCAAGGTTGTGCCTGGTTTGTGACTGCCAGGCGTCAAAGGCAATGACTATCAACGAGACTGAGTAGACTTTTCATCATGATTCAGGCCGTAAAAATATGCAACGGTTGACTAAAGGACACGCTCTAGCTCCAGGGACAGCTTCACTTAAATGTTACGTCACCAGTCGAACGGTGCTTCGTGTGCCATCCCGACAACGTTGGTCTGGCGTTTTTGGAAGTAGGCCCTACGGTTGTGTAGGGCAGGTTGTTGACACCAAACAAATACCAGCACGGAAGGAACTGCGAACACACACGCACAACAAGTCGACCTTCAAGTGCGCCTTCCGAACTACAAACGGGTGTGCAAGCCCTATAAGACTGGCGCAGCTACTTGTTGGTATATCCCAGTATGCACGTGCATTGATTGCCAGGGGCGCCGTGACCCCTTCGTTAGAGCCAACGATCAACATGCGAAGATGCTGCATACGGGTTTCCCGACGGAAAAAAATGGTACCTCGGTGTCCTGGGAACCTTGTACCGGACGGGGTTTCGATGGCGACTAAAAAAATCGTTTCTTTGCCGCAGGAATATCAGCTCATCAAATCTAATTGTCCAAGGATAAACACAGTTTCGTGTCGCGCCTATCGGCAGCACTTGCGTCGTCTTTTTCTTGAATTGACGACTACTACTGTAGGTCGGAAGCAAGAGACAGTTTCTGGGAGGGTGGATACACCATTGCCGCAACACCAGCGACATAGGAACGGCATTCACAGCGCTTCCGACAACGGCACCCGTTCGGAACAACGAGGCAGGCGTTATCAACAGCCGTAGAGACATATGCTTCCCTGAAGATAGTACCCCTAGGAATGCGTACCACACAACGGTCCACGGTGCTATCGTTCAAAATCTAAAACTTTGCCGCTAGAACACCCTTGTTCTAATCCTCTCCCCAAATTCTACCATCCACAACCGTTGTGGCACATCGCTCGGCCACCTTCAAAGCTCCTTTGACGATCTTTGACGTTCGAAGTACGGGCACATCGGCAACAGCACGTCCCGCTTCTGAATCCCAATCCGGCCCATCCCCGCCGTTCCTGCTTCTCGCCGCTGTGGCCTGCACAGCGCCAGACCCCTCGCTGCTGCTCTTGTCTTCAATGTCATTATAGTTTCGCTGTATTGGCCATGGCACGGTGGACGACGGTGGGCGTCGCAGCCGCAACGAAAGAATCGCCGGCGACGCAGCACCTCGTGCGGCTCCACGGCAGCCTCGTGCCCCCCCTCGCCCGTCTGGTCTCTTCTGCTGCCCTCGCGGCACTGATTTCCTTGCCACCGCCAGCACGTTGGAAGTTGATTTCGGCCGCCGTCTCCATGCTGGAGCTGTCGCCGGACGTTGAGCACGGCGGCCGGTCGAGCGTAACGGACAACACGACCCCGATACCCACTCCTTCTCCGTTGGGAGCAACTTTCCGGCCGTCCTGTTGGTCTTGAAAACGCGCTTGTGGTGAGTTGCAAGGAAATTTGAAGCGCCGCGGTTGACGAGCCCGCCTCCCTGACCAGCGGGGGTAACAGCTGGCGCGATTGATGTAGCAGCCGTCGTATGCTCCCTTCGCGTGGGAGGCGATGGGCCTGGAAGAGGTAGAGGTTGATCAACGCCGGCCCCCCTTTCGCGGCTCCCGCCGCCGTCGCCCCTGCAGCCCCCCGCCGCCGCTTTCCGGGCCGGCTCCGCTCTCCTCCCGTTTCCGGTTGTCGTGTTGCGGCCGGGCCTATGTTGTTCCTCGCAACGGTCACTGCTTCGGTCGGTAGAGGTGCCCCCAGCGAGCAATGCGGCCCTTACTTCCGCAGCTGTGGAAGGCGGGCTCCTTTCCCCTGTGGAGGCATTCAAAGGACAGCGCCCCAAGGAAGTTAAAGTTTGGTGGCGGGGAGGGCTACTTAAAAGGGAAGGCCGGGAAATCTTACCTTTAAGCAAGGAACGCGCCCGGTCCAATTCCTTCCCTTTGAAAGGACCTCCAAACTCCAATACAATACCTCCCCTCACACGAACGCTCGTAAGTGCAAATGTCCACATAGTGTATCCTCTTCACCGGCTCTAACCTCCGAACACAGCGCGCCAGATGGGTCCTGGCCGTTCGCCCTCCTGTCGCTTCGGAGTGTTACTCGAGCGAGCGGTAGCTGCGGTCAGCAGCGCCATCGTGGGCGCGTCAACTCCCCAGTCTTCGGAGCCCCACACCCTGGGCCCGTGCACGCTTTCGCAGTCCCCCGCCGCGACTCTTGGCGGCCGTCCGCTCTGTTGTCTTTGTCGCCTCCTTTGGTGTTGCGGTCGACGCCCACTGATCCCTAGGGTGTTGTCTGCTAGGAGCTCCGTTGCTGTTGTGTGACGCGGAGTTATCCGTGACGTTCTCTGGGTTGATCCTTTGGCCGGCGGCCGTGCGAAACCAGACGAGGTATATGTACGGTTGGCGTTGTTGGTGCTTACTCACAACTCATTAACTGGTCGTTTCTAACGAGGTTTGACCACTGATTGGCATGCAAAAGCTCTAGAAACGAACGGTTTTTACACCTACGGATCGTCCAACGTCTACCCTTGAGAGACCGTACTCAACCCTCATGCTAAGCATGACGTGAACAAAATAGGCTCAAAGCTGTGCAGCAACGGCAGAGGGGAGGACGAAGCATACCGTTCGGGCCAAGGTCCATCCAGCGTTGCGCCGCCAAGGCTCCAACCTTTGAGCCATTTGTTTCTCGCCCATAATTTGGCCCCCATTCGTCGCTTGAATCACCCGACACACCGTCTAAAATTGTTTCGGAAGAATTGCTGTCGTCCTGCCCACATTCGAACAATCTTGCTGCCCTCCTTCCGATCACCCCAGCCGTAAGACGGTCGCACTGGGGCGCGTCGGGCCGTTTGCATCGCTCGGTCATGCTGTTCTCATTGCCCGCAGGAACAGAAGATGGAGGCGCGAGTGGTGGTGGTGGTGGCGGTCTCGCCCGACCAAGCCTCTTCGTTAGCATGCCGATGTTTGACTGCAATGTGGCAAACTCTACAACCTCGATGTTCCTGTTGCGGCTGTTGGCACCATCGCTGCCGCTTCCGCCTTGCGAAAAGACCCGCCCCATAGCGACGCTATCGCCATTACGAATACTTCGCGATAGTATTGGACAGCCGCCTAATGCTTCTTCGATGATGCCTTTGAGACCAAGAGTCTCCCGCGAGGGGCAGGGATAGCCTATCGAACTGTCGCGGGCGGTGCTGGAGCTGGGAGATGGCCGTCCTTCTGGAGGTTCCGCTTGAGATCTTGGATGGCCTGCGTTCATTTCCCCAGCAGCAGCATACATCGCTAGCAGCGCATCCGCCACGGCAAGACAAACCTCTCCCGGCGGCTGCTCGAAGCGTCGCCTACTTGCTACATCCCCGCTACCACCAGCATAAACACCCAGCAGTTCGTCGAAAGGGGTAAAGCCTGATGGCAGTTCTCCGCCACCAAGCTGATTGCCGTTCTCCTTTAGCGGGAGACCTCCAGCTTCCGCCTGCCGCTCACTCCGAGGGCGCTCGCCACTCCCTTCGTCGCTGTCGCCCCCAGCGCCTGCTTCTTCTCTGTTGGCCGTCACCTGCCTCTCGATCACGGCGTCTCCGTCCGCCTCGACACCCGCTGGCGCATTCCCCGCGTCTCTGTTATCGGTCGGCCTTAGGTCAGCCGCCAGATTTCGGGGGCAGACTACAAGGTCAAGGACGGTGAGCGGGGCGAGGGCGTACGCTAGAGCTGAGCACAGCTCCTCCTCGCCGGTTCCGCCCCGTCCGCTCGCACAAACCCGCCGGAGCAGCTTGAGCGCCAATATCGCTTCACCACCACCGACTCCAGCTCCCCTCCTGTTAGATTCTTCTGATGATGATGCCGGGGGTCCATCCCGTGAATCATAACCGTCAGACTCCGCCGTGTGGTCTGACCCTCGGCTGCTGCTAACACTCTGTTCGTCGGCAGAGTGTGCGTCCTCCCCTGTCTGTTCGCGTGACCGCCTGCCAGTCACGCGCTCGCGTTGGAGTTGAATCCAGGCGATGGGCGCGCCTCTCTCCACCCCAGAAACCAAGCCGAAAAGCCCGGCCAAGCCCGCGACCACGAGGTAGCAGCACGGGCGGGGGCATTCCGTGGCTAACAGCACGGCTAACCCTGCGGCGGCCTCTCTGACTTCGTAGCTCGGGCTCAGAGAGAGCTTCAGTACCGAAGGCATCAGTGTCAGCTCCGGGCGCATCAGCCGTTGTCGGTTCTTCTGTGGGCTCGGTAGCGCGCCATCAAGTACACCACTTCCGACATTGTCACCACGATATCGAAGGGTTTCATTCCGACCTCGTTGTTCCGACAACTTCCGCACCAATAGCTCTTGGGCAACCTGGAAACCGAGAATCTGGGCACCGGCGGGATCTTGTACGTCTCGCTCATCGAGCAAGCAGAGGACGGCGCTCCACACCTTTGCATTCCCGGTGGAGTCGTGGCCGCCCAGGCCTAGTTCCACCAGCAGATGCCTGCCGGCCTCTCGTGTACCGGCTCCGCACTCTGGTCGACACAGCGCCATAACAATGAGCCCGAGAGGGTCACCAACTCTCGATATGGGTGAAGAATTTTCGGACAGCTCTAGTAAGGATGAGGGGGAAGGATAAGGGTACAAAATGTAGTCCTTGACTCTTTTACCTCCTGCGCGAACGAGCGCCACCAGCAGGCCTAGTGCTTTCGCCCGATTCGTCTCCTCCTCCTCCTCCTCTTCATCCTCCTCCTCTTCGTCCTCCTCCTCCAACTCCTTCTCCTCCAACTCCTTCTCCTCCTCCTCCGCCTCCGCCTCCGCCTCCGCCTCATCCTCATCCTCGATCTCCTCCTCCTCCCTCTTCTCCTTGTCCTCCTTCTCTTCCCCCTTCTCCTCGTCCTTCTCCTCCTCGTCCTCGTCCTTCTCCTCGTCCTTGTCCTTTTCCTCTTCAGGTGACAATGCGCGTGGAGGAACCGTTGGAGTAATTTTTCCGCGTTGTCGTCGTCTTCGGTGTCGCACCCTCCTGTCTGCCTCGGTCGCCGATAATTGACTGGTTACAGCACTCATCTGATGTGACACTGCTACCTGGAGAGCTGTGTTGATCAATCCCGGGGTGCAAAACTGATGGCCTACTAGGCGTGGGTCAAAGTAATCTTGGACACCGTCGTCACTACTACCTTGAACGGTTCTCCCAGCAGTGGCGGATTCTGCGAGCAGCGTGACCACACGAAGACAGGGGCCAAGTTCATGACCGCACGCGAACGATGTCTGCAAGTGCGAGGAAAACCGGGTCGCCAGCAAGCCAGCATGGTGGCCGAGTAGCGAAAGAAACTCAACATTCGCCCTTGGCGACGGGTGTTGAGGGGGTAGAATCGCCTCACCAGGCACACCATCGCCGATTGGTTCAGTCGGAGGAGGCAGTCCAACCTGTCTTGTAGAAGAAGGGAGGCCGCGGCCTTCATTCTTATCAACATCTATTTCGCCCCTGAGTGGATAACGGAGGGCGGTTGCCGTCTGCTGCTCCATGCGCCCACCACTGACCTCCTTCTCTAAGCTGATGCCACTTTCATAGTCTGCGCCTGAATAACAGCAAGCTTGCTGCTGCGGGCAGGAGGTCTCGTTGTTGCTGATGAGAAGCTGATCGGCCAACGCTTTCATCAACTCATCACGCTGGTGTCGTGTTGCTCGGTCCCATTGCTGTAGGAGTCTTGTCGCGCCGGGAGCATGTCCTGGTGTCGCCGGCAGGTTCTTGCAGCAGCCATCGACGGCATGGCGTATGGCCAGCCCGCGCGCAGACGCACTCATTGCCCAGGGTCGCTTGACAGGTGCTCGGCGTGGTCGCTGGTAATTCATGTCGTCGGGTTTGATGGACAACCCTGCTCCGCCGTTTGCAAAAGTATCAACGTCTTCTCCGCCGCGTACTGACAGCCATCGGCTCGTCGTCGGGACGGGTGGTGCCTTGTGGAGACCTCTCAAGCGAGAATGCCAATGCGGGTGAGAGCCAAAACGCTGCTCAGCATCACGGACACTGGTAGCCGGCCTTTGTCTCTTTGCGGGTGTGGTTGTCGCTGACCGAGTGTGGTAGGCATAACTTCTTGAATTCCGAGAAGAAGCAGGCGACCTCGCCTCCGGAAGCAAGCGAGAAAGATGGCCGCGCCAAACCGGAGAGCACCCTCTCTTGTCGCGATGAGGGGGGGCAGACTTCGCTCTCTCATCACACCCTGTGGCTGCTGCTGCTACTCGAGCTTTGCCGTGGGGCCGTTTTCCGGTAGAGGGGCGCTTGGGAAGCCGAAGGCGCACCGGAGCTGCTTCTTGGGGTGGCACGGTGAAGACACGAGTTGTGACCACTTCCCGACGTGGCTTGCATGGCCTTGTCAGATGGCAGTCTCCCATTGAGGTAGGGAGAGTTATGGTTGAAAGCTCTCGATCTGCACAGGCGGGGAGGCCCAGCTGACAGGCCGCATCGTTCCCATTGCCCCATTGGCGAAGTGACGTTATCGGCATGATACCTGTCGCCTCCATATGGGGTGTGTTACAGTGGCCGGACTGTATACTGTGTACAGCCCACGCGTACACTCGACTCAATTTTGCAGCTGACTCTACACACGCGGAGAGATTGCACTACCAGTAGTTATTTCTATTCCACATTCCACGCAGACCAATAAAATGCTATCAATATTTACGTGGATGTGAACCCGCGGGGTTTGCCTGGTAATATGATAGTAAATGTATAAAGCATACTATTTAAGTACACATCGAAACAAGGAGTGTCACGCTGGAACTTTGAGATACGAGAGAGCCACGGTAAAATGCGCCGAGGGTATGTGTCGGTTCGAGAGAACCTTATACGAAACCGCCGATTTTTTCTGAATTTTCGACGACTTTTCTTGTCCCTCCAGTCCACTTGTTTCGTCTCTCTACAACGGTACACGAGCTTTTGTTGCGCATCAGCCATATCGATTACCAGGTCTCTGCTGTCATGCGGTTCCCATAACCGCGAAGCGTGGGGTTATGCTTGCACGACTCTGATGGAACCTGCGTTTCTCTGGGCAACCTCAAGACCCATTTGCATTCATTCGACCTTGGGACTTGGTGCGCGCCGAGGAATATCTTGTTTAGGCTCTTTGCCGTGAACCCCGGAATAGGAGATACCGAATGCCAGCCACCGTAGGAGCCAACACCACCAACGAAAGAAACAAAGAGCAACAGCAGCACCCTTACCCAAGTGGGGCAGCCAAGGGCCAAGACTAGGGAGTTGAGAAGTCTTCGGGGGCGACAAGCAACTGTGTGAGTGCACGTGCCAAGCCACCATGGGGAAGCTCAACAGCTTTATCAAGTTCGTCGTGTTCAACGCGAACGCCCTCTTGTTTCTCGGGGGTGTGGGGATCGTAATCGTGGCCTCACTGCTGCTGGCAGCAGATTTCATCAAGCTTGCCCAGGTATGCGCATTTGAAAGTACCAGGTACGTTCCTGAAAAAAGCATTTGCACAGGAATCCCCGTGATTGAGTGAGGCCAAGCGACCGTGGTATCTAAAGCAAGCAACAAGCACCGGAAGGTAGCAGACTGAAGCAACGACGCAATTCTCGAACTGGACGTGCTTCCATGGAATTTCTGACAATGAAAGCTACAATACACACATGTGTCATTGAAGAGTTCCTTCCATGGGCACATGGTCAAATCGTGTGGGAGTTTTCAGCGGACCACGGTAGGTGAATCCCACAGGTTGGTTTCCCTCTTTAGATACAGCACTCACTGCTAATCTCAATAACGCTGGATTCTTCCCACTTTTTCGATACCCAGCTCGTCTGTGCTTCTCGAAACCTCTCCCGCGTATTGAGGCTTTACCTGCTGTCTGTCGAAAATACTTCCGCCTTGTCGAAGGCTTGCATCGCTCCAGTTGACTCGTGTCGAGCTTTTGTACGTCATGGCTAATATTCGCTCGGCTTGGTTCCGTCCCGCTCGATCGCAGACCTACATGCAGACTCTGGGGATAATCACGTTGATGGTCGGAATCTTGGTCGCGGCCATGTCCATTATCGGCTGCGTTGGTACCAATCGACAAATAGATCGAGACCGTGAGTGCTAGCCTCTCCCTTTGATCCCAATGTTTCTCGCGAGGTTGCAAGAAGACCGCTGCTATTTCCATCTTTTCATTGACAACAAAAAATGGGTATGGGTTCAAGGTAATCGGGTTCTGATGTTTGCTATATTTCCTGTGAATGTGGGGCAGCAGCACCCAGCCTTCATGTACCTTGCTAGATAAGCTGATGCAACGAGAGGTCAGCGATGCCGCCGAGAAGTAGAAGCTCAATGCTCAATGCGATGTAGCACGGATAGTGGTTTCATTCGCTCACATGTGCGTACATGACTCTACTACTCACCTTCCCTGTGGTAATGGTAATGTTGGATAATTGCTTTCTCCCCAACGAGGAGGGTATTTGTGCAAACCGATACACGTTTTTCAGAAAACCCTTCACCGCTAATTATGTTCGGATTACCGCCCACAGAAAAATCGCCAATATGGTTGTCCTGGACGAATTGAGAGGCGACAGGGGTCACACGGGGGTAAAAATTGTTGCGTCCTATGCTCTACCTCAGCACCACAAGCATACGTTGCCCGAACATGAGCTGCACGTCACGGCCGCACATGAAGCTTCGGACGCTCACCCGGTGTATACACCTGCCACTCCCACCTCAAACACCAAGGGCTTTGGAGCGGCCGGCGGATACTAAGCCTGTACCAGCTGATCCTGGTTGCCGTCGTGGTGGGACAGGGGGTTGTTCAGATGAGGCTGTACAGCATCGAGGTGAATGTGACTCACGTGAACGGTCAATGCACAGGCCCAGAGCGAGATGAGCTCGTCGATTCCTCGATACCACCTGACGGTTGTTGTGTGCGAAACGTGAAGATAGTTCCCGGAAGTCGTGGTAGTGCTCTATTTATCGGACGACGGCCTTACACACCGTGATCAGCAAACAAACCCAGTGTGGATTTCGGGTAGTACGTAGAATGCTTTCGTTGGTGTTGCCGTCCACCAGTCGAGCGTTCATGAGTGTTTTTTTAGGTTGTTGAAGATTCTCGTGACAAATCCTGTACACGCTTCTGCACTCGCTGACCCCTGCTGTGAGTCTCGACTCTTGCTGTGAGGCTCGGGTCACTGTGTTCTTTCAAAAACACCTTTCACGGCCACGGATTAGACCAAGACTGTCCATTGTACAAGAGCGCCCAAACTTTCGTTGTTTTTCGGTTCGACGCAGAAAATCAACAATGCTATGTGTCGCGTGGTGCGAACAGATCAATGGCCAGATGGCCGAGATGGCACTCAACGAATGACTGGCCGAAAATCCCCGCCTACCCCAAATCCACATAGGTATCTCTCGAAGAGGCGGCGGCTGATTTGCCCAACAAACACGGAGAGTTCGAAGGCCGTTTTCGCGAGGGATTCAACGAGGCTTACTTCGACCAGCTGTGCTCGGCCAGCGGTGCGTTTCCTTTTCACGAATCACGATGTCGCTGCTCTATCTTGTGTAAGCACACTTCGTCATGGTGGAAAGGCCAGTCACAAGTGCTGCAAATAGCTTCTTTGTACCGCAAGAGACGGATAGGTGGCACCCCCCTTAGACCGACGCTCGAAGGTCGATTGCGCCATAACCAAGCGGGCGCGGAAAGAGACCGACATCTCTCGACCAGATGTTTCCCAAACCACCATTTTCGGTGTTGGCACAATTTTGGTCGTGAATGAATCCTCCTTTGAAAGTCGGCCTAGGGGGGTGCCATCCCTCCACCTCGTACGCTATAGACTACGGAAGACTCTGAAGCGCTTTTATTCCTTCCGGTCGTTCCACTAGCACCGACTCGAAGTCTGCGAAAAATCTTGTCCTTTTCATGTTATTGATGGATCTAACGGGGTGCGAATCGCCTAGTTCCGATGTCTTGGTTATTGTTGACCTATTGACATGTGCCTGGTACGGCATCTCAAATACGAGAGGAATGAAACTTGGTTCGGTCTTTATTGTTTCAAGTGCCTCTTTGGGGGTAAGTCTGTGACCACGGGGAACTCATCGTTTCACCGCCAGGAGCACTTTTAAGACATAGACTTTGTTGTCAAACCGACGACAACGACGCCGATAGCAACCAAAGCTCATAGACAAGCGCATGCCAAAGCCACGCATGACACCGTTCAATGTGACCACCCATCCTGTATTTGTGGTCGGCCTCGACAACTCGCCAAGGCGCAGGTTTGCGCCTTCTTGCTACAGCTATATTTCGGGCAAGTAACCATAGGTGTGACCGTGAAGAGAAATGAAGTAATGAAATGATAGGAAGTTCCTGAGCTAATACTTGCTCGTTCGTTTGCGTTCCGCCCTCACCGTGTAGCTTAAGGCCCGCTCAACGTTTCTTTGTCTGCACTTTGCATCGCTTTGACCGTGGTTCACGCCGTCGCCTGGTAGCGGGAGGAGATTCTTGGGTGTGGTCTTTGGTAGAGGACCACTGCCCCGACGCCATCTCCAGGGACGTCTGCTCTTGCTCGGACATCCTCGACGGCAGCGGACTTCCCGCTGGTTGTTCAACCCCGGAAACGTATTCCGCAGAAGGTGAGCGTGACTGCGTGCCAATGTTGCGGTTCTGATCACCACAATATCAGCCGTAAGTGTCGTTGTTGGTTGGCTTTGGTGTCGTTGACATTGTGGCAGTCGTCATTGTCGTGCTCACCGTCTCTCTCTCTGTATTCATCCTCGGTGTCGTCGCCGTCGTTGTTGCCGTTGGTCTCCTTGTGGTCGTTCTTGTTGCTTTCGTCGTGATCATATTCACTCGGTAGCGCATGCGAAAAAACTGTGCTTGAATACAAACTAGGGAGTGAGGGGAGAACACCACACCGACCGGTGAATTCGAATATTTCCACGACTTGTCACTTTGGCGGTAGTAGGCAAGGCGGCAGGCTCCCTTTCCTCAGACGTTAATGTCCACGAACGGCCAAGAGTGTGTGCCGTGCAATTCGAACCAATCAACCCACGTGTACCCTATGTACGGTACCGTGCGTGGTAATGGATTGTCGGTGAAAACCGCACGTCCACCGAGATTAGGTTTCGGCAAGTATAGCGCGGCCTTGCTTGACCCCATATCTTTATCGGTGATGCGGTCGACGGATGGGGTCTCAGGTTGCTGCCCAGACGAGGAGTTCTGCGAAGCGGGCAAGGAGGAGGCCTGTCCTTACGCGGCGTGCCGAACGGGGATATTAGAGGCTCTCCTCAGTTACATCACGTAAGACCACCAAGACGGGAAAGGGGCGTCCTCGTGTTCTGCATGCCTTGCCTGTGAGCCCATTGACCATTGCGCGTCCGGGAGAGGGGTGAAGATGACCACGAGGAGGGGGGGG